AGAATATTATCCAATATTATCCTGCTTGCCCCTGTAAACTTCCAATGGAAATTGGTCTTTGCAAAACTGTATCAATTTCTGAGGCTTCATTCTTGTATAAGATACATCTCTGTGTGAGCAGGGGATTTAGCTAACAGCCAGTATATTAGCCCAAAGGGTGACGTTCAGTTACCTCTCTTTGCCATCCTAAACTCTCTGTGTTAGTCTCTGACTGTCAGAGGAACTTTCTTCCTCTCCAGAGCAGCGATTCCTCGTGTGAGAGTCGGGGCACCAGGGTCTGTGTCTGACGCGCAGCAACAGAGACCAGAGCTGGTGCTGGAGGAGTCTGTCAGGGCTGCTCTCTCTGCTCTGCTACAGGGCTGGGTTTTGTTCTTGTTTTTCAGATTTTTTACAGATTGTGACCAAGGCAGTTGCTGCCTCGTCCAGCATCTCTTTTAAGGTTTCATTTGTCTGCAAGAAGGATGCAACAGTGACAAATACAGCTCCACACAGCAAAACCAACTTCAATAATCTACTGCTGAGGAAAGAGGATCCTTCTCATTTAGGAAGGAAGGTCTCTTATCTGCTATGTGGGATGTGTGCCCTGCTTTGGGGGTGGAAATTTTTTTTTTTTGCTGTGCATTCACATTGTGATTAACAGCAAAAAATCTGAGTCTTGTCCTTTTATGTGACAATTTAGACAGATGCCCTAAGGGTAACATCTGTGCCAGGACCCAATGCCTTTTTTGTGGCACTTGCTGCCAGACCAGAGTCCCAACTAAATGGTTTTTTCTCCTTCCTCTCTCCATTCTATCCTTCTTTTTTGCTACAGCAAACAAAAACGATTCCCGAGTTTTGCCCAGGGCTTCGGGAGGGACAGGCACGTTTTGTGCTGGTTCTGAGTGCCATAAAACCCCAGCTCCAAATTAGAAGAAATTAGGGACATTGCACAGTTCATTCATCTTCACTAATAGAGTTCTTGGGAAACACACATGTAGATTAAAGGAACACAATGGCCCCTGGCTGATTGCTTTGAGTACCCTCCAATGCCCCTACAATGGTATTGACTTGCTTTTCATATCGTGCACAAAAGCCACACTAACCTTTTCTTGTCTCTTCTGTTGGCCTCTTCCCTCTTTGCCAACGAATGGCTGAGTCCTTTCGGCTTCTACCCCCCCCTCCCCGAGCAGCGGGCAGTGAAGGCAAACCTCACCTGGAGCTACCAGGAAAAGCTGAGAACCTCTAAAATTAATTACCTTTGGGACATCAGATCATAAACCTTAAAACTGGGTGGGCACCGGTAGGGGCAAGCACCTCCAACCTCTGTTTTGAAGCGATTGCCCCGGAAATACCTACACAAAATGGGTCCTGCTGGGGCGGAGGGGGAAGCAAAAATGAAGATTTGTTTAAAGAAGTCATACCTTTTATTAGACTAGTTAATACATCTGGAAGAAGCAGCAGCAGTGTTTTTCATTCACATATACTGTCCTCAGGCTTGAAATCGAAGCATCTTCAAAGCTAAGTGCAGGCTGGAAACCACTCTGGATGTTACTGTGTTTGTCACCTGAGCCAGCTGGGTCAGGCGGTGCCCGGTGCCTCAGAGGGACTGGCAAGTGCTGGCAGCAACAGTGATAAAGTAAGAGAACGAGAAAAGCAGGAAAAAAAAACGGGTGCAGGAAGGAGTACGCAGGAAGCAGGAGACACGATGCCGCTGTCCGGTCAGAACCGCGCCGAGTCCTCGGTGCCAAGTCTGGAGGGGCTCTGCTCCTGGCCATGCCTCCCACGCGTGTGGCAGCTCTCCCGGGAAGCGCTGCCCTGCCCTGCCCCAGCCGCACTCGCGCCGCGGGGGACCAGGTCACAGAATCAGCTCTTCCCACAGGGTCTGTTCGTACCAACACCTTGGACAATTTTCTCAGAAACACTGCCTAGCCCTTTCCACGGGCCTGTGAAGGCTGGAAGGCTGAGCATCCTCCTTCCGATGTCTCCAGAGCCCATTCTCCCCTCCCCAAATTCCCGCACGCGCTCCCCTTGCTGTCTAAGCCCGGCTGTGGAGCTGTGAGGCGCAGGGCAGGTATCGCGACAGGGGACCGGAGCACCAGCCTTCACCCCCACTGCCTTTTAGCCCGTGCATGTGTCACCGAACAGCGTCGCGGCATCGCCCCGCATGTCACCTTTTAGAGGCGAGCTAAGAAAACCACGCACTTAGTAACTGCCCGGGACGGGCACAGGCTGGAGCGGCCAGGGGAGAGACACTCCCGGAGGCTCCGAGCGCCCGCAGCCCGGCAACCTCCCGTCCTCTGGCCAGGACCCCGCCCGGGGGTCCCGTCCCT